CCACAGGCAGCTGGTGGCGGTGTGGAGGAGCAGAAGCCTCCAGCAGGTGATGGCGGGGTGGGGGAGCAGCAGCCAGCCTCAAGCAGCCAGCCTCCAGCTGGTGATGGCAGGGTGGAGGAGCAGCAGCCAGCCTCCAACGGCTGATGGCGGGGTGGAGGAGCTGCAGCCAGCCTCCAGCAGCTGATGGCGGGGTGGAGGAGCTGCAGCCAGCCTCCAGCAGCTGATGGCGGGGTGGAGGAGCTGCAGCCAGCGTCCAGCAGCTGATGGCGGGGTGGAGGAGCAGCAGGCAGCCTCCAGCTGGTGATGGCGGGGTGAAGGAGCTGCAGCCAGCCTCCAGCAGCCAGCCTCCAGCTGGTGATGGCGGGGTGGAGGAGCAGGCAGCCTCCATCAGCTGATGGCGGGGTGTAGGAGCAGCAGCCAGCCTCCAGCTGGTGATGGCGGGGTGGAGGAGCAGCAGCAGACAGCCTCCAGCAGCCAGCCAGCCTCCAGCAGCTGATGACGGTGTGTGGGAGCAGCAGCCAGCCTCCAGCAGCTGATGGCGGGGTGGAGGAGCAGCAGCAGACAGCCTCCAGCAGCCAGCCAGCCTCCAGCAGCTGATGGCGGGGTGGAGGAGCAGCAGCCAGCCTCCAACGGCTGATGGCGGGGTGCAGGAGCAGCAGCCAGCCTCCAGCAGCTGATGGCGGGGTGGAGGAGCAGCAGCCAGCCTCCAACGGCTGATGGCGGGGTGGAGGAGCTGCAGCCAGCCTCCAGCAGCTGATGGCGGGGTGGAGGAGCAGCAGGCAGCCTCCAGCTGGTGATGGCGGGGTGAAGGAGCTGCAGCCAGCCTCCAGCAGCCAGCCTCCAGCTGGTGATGGCGGGGTGGAGGAGCAGGCAGCCTCCATCAGCTGATGGCGGGGTGTAGGAGCAGCAGCCAGCCTCCAGCTGGTGATGGCGGGGTGGAGGAGCAGCAGCAGACAGCCTCCAGCAGCCAGCCAGCCTCCAGCAGCTGATGACGGTGTGTGGGAGCAGCAGCCAGCCTCCAGCGGCCAGCCAGCCTCCAGCAGCTGATGGCGGGGTGCAGGAGCAGCAGCCAGCATCCAGCAGCTGATGGCGGGGTGGAGGAGCTGCAGCCAGCGTCCAGCAGCTGATGGTGGGGTGGAGGAGCTGCAGCCAGTGTCCAGCAGCTGATGGAGGGGTGGAGGAGCAGCAGGCAGCCTCCAGCTGGTGATGGCGGGGTGAAGGAGCTGCAGCCAGCCTCCAGCAGGTCATGGTGGGGTGGAGGAGCAGCAGCCAGCCTCCAGCAGCTGATGGCGGGGTGCAGGAGCTGCAGCCATCCTCCAGCTGGTGATGGCGGGGTGGAGGAGCAGCAGCCAGCCTCCAGCCTCAACCATCAACCCTGCTCACTGGTCAACTTTCCTCGAGGGGTCACCCATTAGGACAGTGGGAGGGTTAAACCTGCGACTCAATGTCACAAAATAAACTGACTGAACGTATTCTAAAATAGTAAAAGGGATTTTGTTCTTCCCTAATCTCCACTAATCACTAGATAGTCTAAACTCTAAATGTTAGGGTGACACTGTGTGTGTGTTCGGGGTGTCCCCAATAGCTGTTTTACACGAGGGCCAACAAGGGCCCTTATGGGTGTCCCTTTGAAGCCTCACATGAAATAGCATCAAAATATTTTTTGGGGGGTGGCCCAGTGGTTTGTGGGGACTTATCTCCCTGGATCTCACTAGGACACCCGTTGTGGCGCCTTAAGTAATCACATCTGCTTGACAAATCCACCGTTTTTATTTAAAAACGCCAGCAGGAAGTATATTTTGGATTCGGAACAATGTGAGGGTGGATCGAAACCACCAGAGGAGGTGCAATCAAATTGAATTAGTAACCTAAAAGAGCCTTTCACAGTCGGTGACTCTACGCTCAGGCGTGTTGACACAACGTTAATGATCTATAAAACAAACAGGGAAGACACACAGAACAACACCCTCTTGTGTCTCTTTGCCCAGATGCAAATGTGCTCTCATCCAGCTGAGGAACTCACATTCTGATGGCTTCCAGAAGGCATCGCAGGTGTCGCCGCTGCTCGCTCTGGTTGTTTGATGTCATGTTGGCGCGATGCAGAAGCCAGCATTCTCTTAGAACATTTGCAGCAGCGTGGCGGATCTGGGAACCGGCAGAAACATTCAAACTGCCTAATCACACTTGGAAGTTTTATGTTAAAAGAAACATTTATCAGGATAAAATTAAAATGACTTAAAACCTGAAGAACTGTCAAATCTTGGATCGACAAACACATATTGTTTCAGTTTTATTTATTTATTTAGTTATTTTGGGGTCATTTCAGCACATTTATAAAATAATGAGCCTAACGGTTTTCCCTGTTCCACGCCTGCTTGTGTTATGATGCTGACTCACAATAAAAAGAAACCAATAGATCTTATTTTCTCATAAATTGTTAAACACCAGACCAGAGCACTAAAATCGAGCCTTTCTACAGTTTTTTTTTTTGTGTCTGTTTGCTTTCCAATGCAAATCACTCCAGCTGCATCATAATGTTGTCAGTAGGACTCCTGGCCTTTTGCGATGCTATTATTAGAGGCTGTCAGTGTTTGCATCCAGATGTCTTCCCTTTTTTCCCATTCAGTTTAAATCTGGCCTGTAACAGATAGATCCAAAGGATGCACGCACACTCTCAAACCAAACAGACACACACAAGCACAGAGATGCAGGATGCAGCCTCCAGAGGAGAGGAAAGACACGTATTCTCCAAAGCTGTGCAGCTACTGCAGTCGTGGTTTGGTGCACCTTTGGAGAGCTTTTGAGGAAACCCGAAACAAACGGATAACTCAGCGGCTGTAAGAGTTTTTTTTTTTAACTTTTAAATTACTTCATTCAATCTAAAAGTTAAAACTCTGGCCTGAGTTACATGTAAACAAACCCCTCTGCAAAATCCTTTTCACATACAAGCATGTGTGGAGATCCAAGCAGCTTCCTGTCCACCCTGAAACTGACCTGAACTGACAGAAGCTTCTTTCCTGACAGAGATGAGATTATTTCCTGTTTGACGCCTTGAAAAGGCTTTCTAGACTCTGGCAGAGCTCACCTCCCCCCTCTTTTCCCACACTATCCTGTTCTCATGTGAGTCTAATTTAACAAGCAAAATAGGCTAGAAAAGCAGAAACTGAAAGAAAATTTTGAGTGTGACATCCTCTTCCCCCGCGTTGAAGTTTTCCTTTTTTATAGATGTGAAAATCGTGCAAAACAGAAATGAGACTTTTACAGAGTCTTCAAAAAGTTTACTTTCAAGTTGTTTTCTGGGGTAGAACTGAAGATCTGTGTGTGTGTGTGTGTGTGTGTGTGTGTGTGTGTGTGTGTGTGTGTGTGTGTGTGTGTGTGTGTGTGTGTGTGTGTGTGTGTGTGTGTGTGTGTGTGTGTGTGTGTGTGTGTGTGTACATTATTTGCTATAAGGCAGTATATGTGCCTGCATCATAAAGTGGATAACACAGTTTCCTGGACATTCAGCATAAACCATTCTGCATTTACATCAGCATTAGTCAGTCCCACTGACCTGAACAATAGGTACAAAATAACATATAATGCATAAAAATGCATTCATGCATTTTCTAATTTAATCTGCAGCAGCAACTAAGTCTGTGCAGAGGAGCCATTGTTATTTGTAATTTAGTGAATTGTTGTTAAGCAGGTGTGCATGTTTCAGCATGAAGTGACAACAGAATTTAAATGTGTAAAATATGAGTTTTTATGCGACAGTTCATGCTCACCCTTTTAGATATCTGGATGTCCAACATGAAGTAGTGCACGTGTTTCTCTCCTTTGTTTAATGCCAACTTCTCTGTAACGATGGCAACCAGCATGGCGGTGCAGGCTACACCCTAGAACACACACACACACACACACACACACACACACACACACACACACACACACACACACACACACACACACACACACACACACACACACAAACATTAGTAATCTGTTGTTGCTGCAGATCTTATTCAAAGTATTGACAGAATCATAAATAACAGCTTGAATTTAAATGAAACGTTTTGATCCCACATTGATTTTCCCTCCTATGGAAGGAACGTTTGCAGGAGTCAACATTACTCACGCACCTGTCAGGTTATATTTGCACAAACGTAAAAACCGCTAAATGAACATCTCAGGGTCTGTTGTAGCCCGTTTCACACTTCTGCATAATTTCACCAGGGAAAAATAACTGGTGACCAAGCATGTTTCAGTTGACATAAACTCACAACAAAAATAGAAGACCTAGTACTTAGCGACTTCATGTTTAAGCTCTAAACATAAATGTCCATGTTCTTAAACGAGAGACTGAAGGCAGTACGACTAGAAGAATGAGAAGCCAGAAAAAGAGCCTTTGAATCTGTTCTTCTCTGAATAAAAATGTTTTTTTTTTGCCTGTTTATTAACAGAAGCACAGAGGTGGACAAAAAATAAAAACAATCCACCTGACACATCATTTCCTGTTGCCGTTTCTCTTTAACCGTTTTTACAAAACAGTGCCGTTGATTAGCCGCAAGGCCACGGTGGGATCAGGGAGCCTTACGTCGTTTAGTGGTCAGACGTGGCGGTAATGTGGCGCAAGCGTGTCCTTTTTACAGAAGATTATGTCTTGGCAGCATAAAAGGCGTATGGTGGTGGTCTCTGCACTGCAGACTTCTGTTTGTCTGGGACATAACATGTTTGTTATTACGATGGAAGCCGCACTCATTAAGTTTTTTTTAAAGAAGCAGCTCCTAAAGGTTTCAGTTCCCGACAGTCCCTGTGCAGTCTCTGGTGATCTGACCTCCAGCTCTAATGGAGAAAAGCTCCTGGAGCTCTGCATAGCTCCAGATTATCACCTCAGCTGATTTTGTTTACAAAAGCTAAATCTACGGCCCATTTTTACTTTCATTTTCAATATAGTTGCTGGTGTTGTACCAAGGCACCATAACAGAGAGGAGCATACCAGCAGATAATGTGCATGCGCTGCGCATTATCTGCTGGTATGCTCCTCGCCATTTATGAGACAGACAATTACCGTAATATTACTAACAAGCGAGACGGAATGAATACCGCAAAATTCACACATCACCTTTTGCTGGAACGGTGTGTCTTGTAAAAAGTGGCCTTAAAGGGGCATTATGGAAGTTTGACAGCCAAAACATGTATAGAAATAATAAATTTCTTCTTCATACATTCTCCTGCAATGCCCTGGTCCTGTAAATTGAGCCCTGGCAGTTTTACTGTGATTGCCTGTTTTTCTGTAAAATCACAGAAAAAGAGAAATGCTCGGGTCGAGCAGGCTGCTTCATGCGCGTTCACGCTCAGGCATAGCCTGTAGCATTTGCTATCCGTAGCTTTAGCAGCAGAGAGAGAGGCAGTACCACTTTGTCGCTGTTCCTAACGCCTAGTGACAAAGCTAGCTACATTTCTGAGGACCCTTAGCTACTTTCTGTAGAACTTTCTTCTAGATATTTCCTGCAAATTAGCAACAAAATAGCCATTTTTGCTCCGAACCGTTCTTTGGTTTGACGTTGTTTCAGCTGTCATCAAGGATATAAAACTTACAGGAACAAAAGATGTCACTGGCGCTTTAGCTCACCTAGTAAGACGTTTGACTCTTGTGCAGAAGACCCGGGTTTGATCATAGTTCATTTAGTGTATATTTTTTATATTAATGGTATATTTTTTTACAGTAAGATGCCCACATTTTTATTTGAGACTCGCCGAACGGCATTGAATTCACAGATAAAAAAGATGTGGGTTCAACTTTCATTTTGGAACAATTTTTCAAGCAAGGGAAGGGAATGATCTGAGCATGCAGGAGGACTGACCCATCATAAACCTTTGTCGGCTGTGCTGAAGAGAAAGGTACAGAACCAAATTATTTAATTAATTAGCTGCGCGTTCTCCTGTCCTCTGTCCTCCGGGCCACACACACGGGACTGTCTCAGCTGTTATTTTCGTTAAGGAGTGTGCACGTACAGCATGCGCGCCTCGTGCACGAGCCTACTATTGAAGCTGCCGTTACGCTTTTGGCCTGAGGGGGCAATCGCGAGCATAAAAATTCAAAACTCCGTAAAGTCCCTTTAATGAGCAGCGGCTAGCCTTAGCTAGCAGAAAAAAAAGTTTTACGACTAAAAAATAAAAACAAGAAATTGAGATTTTTTTTTCATCATTACGAACACATTTAGAAAGTGCACTTAAGTTTATATCATTGATGATGTACTAAAACTGACTGGTTATTAATCAAAAGCTAAGCAGCCATATCAAAGCTTCCTGCAGTCATTGAGGGAAATGTGGCTAAACGCACTGAGAAAGGCATTTTGTACCAGATCATTCCTGCAGTTTCTCTAATTATCTTGACCAACTTCCTTCCTTCATTCACACAAGATGGCTAATGATGAGAGTTAACCAGTTCTTTACCTGTTTTCCATGTTTTGGCTTGCAATAAGAAGGAAAAGACAGAGATAACCGTCACCAGAGGAAAGAAACAACAAGAGTTTTGACAGCTGGGTTTGTTCTTTTCTTCACTATTTATTCAATATCAGTAATGTAGAAAAATCTGTAAAAAGCAGGAGGTTCTGAGGAGTTCACACACAGTGAGGGAGTGTACACAGAGTCATCAACACCTGTTGCAGCTCTTTTCTGGGTGTCAGAATCTACTTCCGTGATGGGATTTTTTCCCCCAGCCTATGGGCGCAGATTTGCATTCACTGCTGAAAGCCATGGGCAGGGTGGAAGGTTTTCCTGAATGAGGGGGAATCTGACAGTTAGAGAAATGCAGATTAGGAAGCAAGTTTTCCGTTTTTAAACAGAGGAATGTAAATCGAACATGTCCTCACATCCAGAACAGCGGCTCTTCTCTGGCTTTTTACGGTGCAGCGAGTTAGAGCTGCTCAGTGTTACTATGTTTGTGTGCAAGATAAAAAAATCTGTAAATAACTGTTAATTAGAGCTTGGTGCCAATCTTATTTAGTCTCTTTGTACACATTATATATGAGACATGCCGTAAAATAATTTCATTTATATCCTTTTGGATAGATGTGGGCATGCAGCACTCACAAGGCACAAACACTGCACAACCACCATCTGCAGCTGTTCCATTCGTTTCATTTCAGTGGTCTGACTGAAAGAAGCATCCCTGAAGTAAAGGTCGGACGAATGTAAGAGGAGGAGATAAGAGCAGAGGGAGAGGAGCTGAAGGAAAAGGAAGCATGGACCAAAGAGAGCACAGGTTGACGGAAAAGCAGGGAACTAAAGGAACACACTGTGTTTGCTGTCAGTCCAAGAGTGCTTAAAGTAGCTTTGTTTTTACTAACCAGACAAGTGAAACAGCGATAAGACATTTCCTTCAGCTTATCACATGTCACTTTCACATGTTTCCAAACTGCTACTGCCTGGTTAATCATTTACATAGAAGTCAGAGAACCTAGCTAATGAAGACCTATTTTAAAACATCTGTCATTTATTTTCACTGGAATAAAATGGTTTTACCATGACACCAGTGAACAGACACACAACTTTGCCACAGCTGGTGTTGGGTGAAACGTCTCCGTATCCCACCGTGAGGAAGGTGATGGCAGTAAGCCACAGGGCCGTGTCCATCTGACCCGTCGGTTCTTGGGTCCACCTGCAGGAGAAGAATTAGAAAGCACCGTTACATGGCGACGGATCACCTACTGACAATTATCACTGACTGGAATATTTTTATTTGATTCAGTGAAATTTCAGCAAAGTCAATTCAAAAGCTTAATAAAATTATCTGAGATCTTGGTCTTGAGTCAGAAAAGTGTATGTCTTCTCCAGGTCAGGGATGAGGTCCTGCCATGAGAGGAAGAGTTGAAGTATCTCAGGGTTTTGTTCATGTGTGAGTGAAAAATGGATCAGGAGATCAAGACGGGCGCTGCGTCTGCAGTGAAGCGGGCGTTGTACCGGTCTGTCGTGGTTAAGCGAGAGCCGAGCCAGTGGATCTATATTCCAGCTCTCACCTATGGTCACGAGCTTTGGGTAGAAAGAAGGAGATCGCGGATACATTAAATGAGTTTTCCTTGCACTTGTATAGCGCCTCTCAGAGTAAGGACTCCAAAGCACTTTACACTACAGAGTATCATTCATCCATTCACACACACATTCACACACTGGTGGTGATGAGCTACGATGTGGCCACAGCTGTCCTGGGGCACACTGACAGAGGCGAGGCTGCCAAGCACAGGCGCCATCGGTCCCTCCGACCACCACCAGCAGGCAAGATGGGTTAAGTGTTTTGCCCAAGGACACAACAGCAGAATTCTCTGTCCGGAGCCGGGATCGAACCTGCAACCTTCCGATTACTAGACAACCCGCTCAGCCTGTTGAGCTACTGCTACCCCTAGAAATAGGATGAGAAGCGTGTCACCTGGGAGGGTCTTAGAGTAGACCTGCTGCTCTTCCACATCAAGAGGAGCCAGTTGAGGTGGCTCGGGCATCTAGTTAGGATGTCTCCTGGACGCCTCCCTCGTGAGGTTTTCTGATCACGTCCGACCGGGGGGAGACCTAAAGGAAGACCCAGGACAAGCTGGAGGGACTATGTCTCCTGGCTGGTCAGGGAACGCCTTGGGGTTCCCCTGGAGGAGCTGGCCCAAGTGGCTGTGGAGAGGGAATTCTGGGCCTTCCTTAGGCTGCTGCCCCCGTGACCCGACTCTGGATAAATGGATGAAAATGATGGATGGATCAAGCTAAAGCAGAACCCCCACCCCTTCCATGGATGGATGAATAAAATTATCAGCAGTTTTTTATTTTATTTATTTTTTTTCCTAATAGAAGGTGCCGATAAAAAAATCACTGAAGCATGTCTGAGTTTTGGACTTACTTATTATTTTCTTCACAAATCCCAACAGAGAGTGTCTATTCTCACACAGAATATCAGAGTTTGTTATTTTCTCTTCAAAACTGAAGTGAAGTGTGTTTTTAACTATGACCGAACTCTTTGTTCCCTCACAGTTCAAGAACACTTAAAACCCCTGCTACTGCTTTAAAGTGTGGAACACGTGTTAGATCAACACATTTGCAGAGGTCTCTAGAAGGAATGAGTGCTTTTAAGCAGTAATCCGCGGGTTTGCCCAGAAGCGCCTGTATCAGCGCCATTGACATATATTCTGAGAATTCTGGAGAAGAAAACAGCTTCAGGCGACAGGATTTAGATTGCTATTTCCTGATATTTGGACATCTCGCCTCTGAATGGACAACAGCAACGCGGCTCTACCGACTTGTGGATATCTCGTGAATCTTTAATCTCCACAAATAATACAAGCCTGGAGGAGTTCTGCTGTGTGGTGGAGTTGTTAATGCTAACAGTTAGCTTTTACTAGCCGAGACGTTCTCTGCTGTTTCCTGGATGTTAAACCACCAACAGCCTTCCTCGTTGTGAGTCAAGATGGGTGAGTCCATGAATGTTAAGTGACAGTCTGACATATATCTGTCAGGCTTTTCCAATTCTAGAGTTTCAGCGTCTATTTTCTATCAGAAGCGAATACAGGAGATAGCTGTAGGAGACTATCTTCATGTTCAGTCTGCATTCAAAAGTCTGACTGATTGTAATCAGAAGTAATTGAGAGAAGAAAATTGCCAAAGCCATAGGGGTATTATATAGAGTCAAGTTTCTACTAAATTTGTCGGGGTTGTTAACATTGTATCACTCACTGATTGAACCATATTTATTTTATTGTTTAGAAATTTGGGGAGCCACTTGCAAAACTTTTACACAACCATTGATCATTTTGCAAAAAAGAGCATTGAGAATCATTAATAACAGTAACTATAGAGATCACACTAATCAATTATTCATTAGATACAAAATACTGAAATTTCCTGACTTGGTAGAGTGGAAAATATTGCAAATAATGTACAGAGCGAATACAAGTAATCTACCAACTAATATTCAGAAAATGTTTCCTAAGAGAGTAAGTGGGTACATGTTAAAAGGAACTGATGTCTTTGAGAAACCTAGATTCAGAACCAAAGTGAGGGAATGTAACATTTCTGTAAATGGTGTAAGATTGTGGAATGCCATTAACAAGGAATTTAAAGAATCAACTACACTTGCAATATTTAAAAAATGTATAAAATCTAATGTATTTAGTAATTATGAAAAGGAGAATTATAATGTCAAAGATTAGACGTGAAAATATTATAAAGTGACCGAGGTTATATTGTGTTTGTTTGGCGGATAATTTTATTTCGTAAAAAGGGGCAGAAATCATAAGATTTTTTCTTCTGTCTGCTCCTTTTCATTCAAATGTTTTTTTTCAATATGTTAATGTATCCTGTATTTGTTTGTGTTTATTTTATACATTGTGAATGAAATAAAATATAAAAAAAAAAAAAGTAATCATTAAAATGGGTTTTCAGTGTTCCACACTTGTAAACAGCAGCTGTTTTAACCATAAAGGTTACACCAGCGCACTTTTGTTAGGTGTGAATATAGATACTTTAGTTATGTAGAACAATGTACTTATATCGTAAATTACTAATGATATATTTGTAATTGATCACAGATTAAGATGTGGAAATGTAGAGTTTAATCATCAGTAACACAATTGTTTGTATCGTTATCTTTGAAATTCTGTTGATCACATGACTTCTACACACAAACGGAGAATTAACAGATGACAATAATTTATCCTCTAAATTCAGAGCTTGCAAAATAAATGCTCTCTTTGACATGAATGCAAGAATCTAATTAATATTGATGTGGTTTGTTACAAAATCTCTCAGTGCCGCATAATTAAAGAGTAGGACAAGATATTTACGCTGGGTCTCACTGGCGTGTGTGTCAATATTTCTAATGAAATTAGATTTCTTCATGCAAATGTAGCTAATGAGTTGAAGACATTATTTGAAGAGATCTAGACCTAAGTCCAGTCTGTTTCGGGGAACAACTAACACATTATGTACAGTGAAGAATACTTTTTACCCTTTCAGTGGATTTCAAAGTATTTTGCAACCACTTTGTCTTTTGTAGACAGGACGTCCAGACTTGTGTTTGATAAAGATGGGGCTGAGTGATCAAACTCTCTTATCAACACATGAAGTCACAGAACAGATACCTGAGCAAACTTGTAAAACATCACAAAGAACAAGCGTAAGTCTGTCGAGAGCTGTAGTTGTTTCTTTCATCATTACTCTGAAACATCTGGTTACACAAGACTGACGAGAGCAAAACCTCCAATTAAACTTCAAATATGGCCTCATGACTTCTTCCCCAAACAGACTACAGAGTATCACGCTGGCATTCAGTTGCCCAACACTGAAGAAAAGGCCCTAGGAGCAGGAAAACAACATGATTTCTTATGAAGTATTCTTTAGGGAATCGATACCAGACTCCTTAATAGGAAGCCTAAGTCACACCCATCTCCTTCGAGACCATGGGTCCCCGGAGTCAACGGGGATAAAAACGCTTCTGTGCCATGGATGTCTGTGAATTTTAAAGATATTCTGATGCTGAGAAAGTGCTTCTTTTTGAACGGGGAAGAAACTTTATTTTAGGTTTTGTGTGTGTGTGGCTGCATGGTGGCGCAGTGCTTAGCACTGTTGCCTTGCGGCACAAAGGTTGCAGGTTTGAAACTCGGCTCGGCTGCGGCCTTTCTGCGTGGAGTTGCGTGTTCTCCCCATGCATGCGTGGATTTCCTCCGGGTACTCCGGTTTCCCCCACAGATCACAACATGCCCTACAGGTTATAAATTGTAAGCTGCTTTGGATAAAAGCGTCTGCTAAATAAACATAAACATAAAATATGTCCAGGACTACAAATACGCATCACCAAAGTGACGCCATCAAACCAGAAATGGAAAAATACGGAGGAAAAATGGGCCGTTTCTCAATTTGCATACTTGTCCAAACTTGTGTACTCACGTCCTTGTGAAACGTCATCAACGATGGCCCAAGGACTGTTCCAGTCCTAAATGTGCATAAAGGCCAAGTTCGCTCAAACTTCCCAGATGTGTTCTTGCTCCGGCCATTGTCTCGAGGATGCATCAATGCATCCTTCTGCACACTTGGGATAGCAAAGTTTCCCATAATGCATAGCGTCACAAACCAGGACAAAGCTAATAACTGTAATGTTTTGTATTAGAATCACAAATAAAACCATTTAAAGTGGTCTGTTATTTTAAAGGATTGTGTGTAAACTGTAAACGTTGCTGTGTCTGTTTTAGTTTTACTCTTCATGATCCTTAAAAAGGCTATTTAGCAAAGGTGTGGACTCGAGTCACATGATGTGGACTCAAGTCAGACATGAGTCATTATTTTAATGACTTCTGGCTTGACTTGATAAGATCTATAAAGACTTACGACATGACTTGGACTTGAACGCAAATGACTTGTGACTTGAATTGACTTGCATCTGTTGACTTGATGATGACTTGATGCACATGTGATATTTTAGCACAAAAGTGGAACGAGAAAGATCATGAATCATTCTTTGTTCTGGGTTTGACGTTCTGCTAACTGCAGCAGCACTTTGTTTATCATCAGTTTCAGCTGCACTTCCTGCTTGTTTGAGCAAATAAATGAAGCTTTAAGAAGCTTTATTTCTGGAATTTATTCATCATCATTGTCATTAAATTGAAGTTTGACAGATGACTTGAATATGACTTGAAAATTCTAAGTTAAGGACTTGGACTTGACTTGGACTTCCACATCATTGACTTTGGACTCAACTTGTACTTGGTTGTCTTTGACTTGGACTTGACTTGAGACTTGACTGGAAAGACTTGTGACTTACTTGTGACTTGCAAAGCAGTGACTTGGTCGCACCTCTGCTAATTAGCTAACCCACTGTTCAAATGCTAGTATTTTGTTAGTTTTGATCAAAGTGGGCCAAATATAATACAGATAATACATTCTGTTGTTATTTTGTTATTTAAGGAACAAACTAGACTTTTAATTTTTTTTCAAGTCATCTTTTAAACCGTAGCAAGAAGCAGCACTTGTTGCCAGGAGACAATGAAGTACGGTTCGTTCCAAATGCCGTCATCGTCCTCCCGTACCCCATAGGACAGACTTTCTGGTGTCCTTGCCAAGAACATACTTGTCTAGTACACGAGAAGGTACTAGCGTTCTTGTGTATTGGGAAACGGCCATGGCTGTAAGTCCAGCGAACCACCATAAATCTGGCCACGTGGTACATAGCAGCTAAGCTAGGGGAGAGGAGGTTCTGTGGTGACATCAAATATGCAAAGTGCTGACGTCAGATTTGTAGCCATACTAATTACAAACTTTTACAAGCTGAGAAATCTTAAAGTACATTACTGGCGTGGTCGAAACACCCGTCATTACTTTTCGTTTAAATAAAAGTACAACAAATGTGCCCCGTTGACTTCCATTCGTCTTTCCGTTCTTCTGGGGACCCATGAGCCGACCAGAAAGGAAGGAGACTTAGGCTCCCTATGTGTGCTGTTAGATCCCTATTGACCCTGCCTCACCTGATCATGTGGATCCACCATGATGGGCGTCAACAGTGAGTAACGGGAATCTTGAACAATCTTGAGGGTAAAAGTGGCTGCTGAGTTTTATTTTTTCCAGTTTAGCCTGGCTTCTACCAGTTCAAGCCCAGTTGACTGGAGGGAAGATTTAACACACCTAGGTGTTCTCCCTGCTGCTGCTCACTGATGCAAACAAGTTGTCGACTTTGTCAAAATTCACCTTGCTGGATTTATAAGATTATGTGATAAACAGCGTTTCACTTTAACCTGGAGCTGATTGAGGCTGTTTATCTGTGGGATCTCAGGCCGTTTCAACCGGCTCCCCCACTTGAGGGAAACATGCTAAGTATACAGAACACATAAACATCTCAGATAGAGGAGCTGAAGCTAAAGAGGTGCTGATGGCTGATGCTGCTGAATAACCATGCACATTTTAGATCAGAGTTTTGAGATGAGCCTTCTCAGAATAGCTGTTGGCTCATCAATCTGGGTGGAATTAATCTCTCCGTCTCAAATCTGAGATTGCCCAAATCACCATCAACCTTTTCACAGAACCCCCCTGAAAGGTCTAGCTATCACAGGCACAGTACTTGTGTTGGGGACAGCCTACCTCTCACACAGCGTGAGCATCCAGGACACAGTGAGCCAGAAGAAGAGGATGAACACCAGCAGCGTACGTGCCGGGTGTTTGTTCATCAGTACCTTCAGAACAAACCGAAAGGTGAAGTTGATATTGTTGAGTGAGCCGATGCTCCTGTAGGAGGCGCTCAGCAGCACTTTGCTGTGCAGCAGAATGGCTCTGTGGACCAGGTAGAGACGGAGGAACATCAGCACCGATAACAGCAAGTCCATGTCCAACAGGGTCTTGGAGTGGTGAGTGGAAACACAGAGAGGAGCAGAGGAGGAGGAGTTCCCATGGAGGCCCGTGTCCCAGTACGATCCAACAGGGTGGATGACACAGACCAACATCTCCAGAGTGATCCCAAAAACCCTGTGGCGCGTCATAGCGATGCGCCAGTCCACCTGGTTGTGATCAATGATGAACAGCTGAAATGAAGGCAGCAGGAAAATAAGGGTGATTAAAATTCTCCTGGTGACCATGAAAAGGAAATTCACCTTCTAGAGGAAACATTTATGCTGATTTTTTTATTTATCATTTGAGAGAAGTCAAAATGTCTCAATGGAGGCAAACAACAAAAAACAAACGTGACCATAACAGGGTGTGTGATGTTTGGACGTGAGAAAAACCAGACTGGGAGAGGTGATGAAAGTCAGCAGGTGTGCTGATTAGTGATGAAATACAGGTGAGATGCATGGGTCAGGGACTGTGGAGGGCATCCGGGCTGCGTTCACAGTGCAGGACTTGCTTTTACATTACAACACTCCTACTGAGGGCTTTTAATTTGACTGCTGCTGCGAGGAGTCTTGATTTGGTTTGAAACTTGATAGAGTCGTTCAACCGAGTTTAGTCAAATTTAACATCTCCATGCTTTTGTTCCTTCTTGACTATGACTATAATGCCGTAAATTCCGATACTAGAACTCTTTGATGCAGCTGGCTCAAAATGCTGCAGCCCGTTTGGTATCAAGAGGCACATTACTGCTACATTTTCATCTCTGCATTGGCTGCTGGTTCGCTTTAGGATTGATTTTAAGATTTAAAATCTGGTTTTTAAATGTCTACAATGTCAAGGTCTTCCATACTTGATAGATCTACAATGCAGACGTGTTCCTTGGAGAAGCCTGAGGTCAGGACACTAGTTGATGCTGAATATTCCTTTTCTGTCTTATCCCCCAAATTATGTGAAAATGTACCAATAATTATGAGGAATGCTGGTACCCTGATTGATTAAGAACATTAGCTTTTAAATTTGCTTTTGATATTGATTTTAAACTTTCATGAACCCATTATTATATTTTATTTTACCCACTGTTTTATCCCTGCACAAAAACAACTGGTCACTTTCTGGGTGTTGAACATGCTTTATGTGTAAAAAAAAGATTGATTGATTGATTGATTGATTGATTGATTGATTGATTGATTAATTGATTGATTGATTGATTGATTGATTGATCTGTATTTTTATCATCGTCTCTTTTTTCCATTTACACCCAGGCCACTTTTCCCATCCATCTATTTTCAGCTGCTTATCCGGAGTCGGGTCGCGGGGGCAGCAGCCTAAGTCGAGAGGCCCAGACTTCCCTCTCCCCAGCCACTTGGGCCAGCTCTTCCGGGGGAACCCCGAGGTGTTCCCTGGACAGCCGACAGACATAGTCCCACCAGCGTGTCCTGCTCTCCCTTTAGGTCTCCTCCCGGTTGGACGTACCCAGAAAACCTCACCAAGGATGCATCCAGGACGCAGCCTAATCAGATGCCTGAGCCACCTCAACTGGCTCCTCTCGATGTGGAGGAGCAGCGGGTCTATACTGAGCCCCTCACGGATGACCGAGCTTCTCGCCCAATCTCTAAGGGAGAGCTCGGTGAGGGTAAGAATGTTGATCGATTGGTAAATCGAGAGCTTCACCTTCCGGATCAGCTCTCTTCACCACGACAGATCGGTACAACACCGATAGTGGATGCATTTGAGTTGTTATGTAAACAAGCATGCAAAAAATAAGTTCCTCTCAGGAAAAAACTCTGAATTAAGCACCAAGAGCTGCAGTGTTTCCCTACTTTAATGAGCTGCAGGGCTGACCTGTGTGACACTCTGCTCTCTGGACAAAGATCTCATCCACAGCTGCTTTGGTACTTTGCAACAAGACTGCTGAATGAAACCAGGAGATTACATCACACCACTTTGCCATTTTATTATCAGTTTTATAATTAGAATTATTTTTTGACCCAATAATTGTTTTAATCTAACTTGTTTTCAGTCCTCCACATCACCAAGAGCTCCTCTAAGTGCATTTTTCTTAATTTATTTGATTGTTTGTTTTCTGTTTGCTGTGAAGTGTTTAGTGTTACACCCAACTGATGATCAATCTGATCAATAATCAGGTTTTATAGCTGAAATAAGAACCCTCCTTGTACGTTTGTCTTTTGTTGAATGTAATTTAAAATGTCCTTTATTATTTATTCAAATTTTTTTTATTTAGTCTTTAATTTGCCGGAAAGGTCCCATTGAGATTAAAAACCTCATTTTCAAGGGAGGGCTGGCCAAGATGCAGCAAAAGTTACTGTAATAAAAGTTTTCCTTCACACAGACATGTTACGTACATACATGCAGAAGTCAGTTACAACACAGGGAGTCCGTCTCAAGCGCTCTGTCTGGTTTCACATGGAAACACTAGGAGACAAACACGGTTAGATTGCAGTTGTCCTGCAGCCTGTTCCATGCGTTTTATGCTGCCAAGCACTTCCATTTCTGTTTCTGATTCTCCTCTGCTTTTGCATTCCCATGCTCTTTCTGTTTGACCGACTGCTTCCTGTCTTGTTTTCTACTTTGTTCTGCATCACCGTGTCCCGTTTTAAAGCTAAACAAGGCATTGCAGTTAGATGTGCAGGCCTGGGGCCTCCACCCTGAACCAGCCCCTCCTTATCTCCTCCACACACACGGAGAACCATAACCCTGTTTCAAATACATCAGACAGAAGCGGTTAGCTTAACTCAGCCCTGGAAAGTCTCTAGGTCCATATTCTTATGGAGAAGCGCTTTAAACACTTGCTGTCCGTGCTGCAGTCAACCCCACTGCTGCGAGGGTTTCAGGGCAAATAAAACAATGTTTACTCTGCTCAACCTGGGCCAAATCCCGTCATGTAAATTGACTCACAGACTACAGCAGAGAGCCATGTGGACTGGAACAACATCACAGCTAGATTATTGTGGGCTGAGGTTTTCATCCAGGCTCGTTTTACTCACACAGAACACAGAACCCAGATAAACAACGTGGAGACGATCATCAGCAGCCCGACTGCCACCGAGCATCAAGCTCCGGGTACAGTGAAGGCACGCAGGGAGGCAGGGTGCAAACTCACCCTGATGTCCTTATAATGGAACGCCATGATGAGGATCAGGAGACACCCGGTGGA